AGAAAGCTCTGTGCCTTGCAAACACAGAGCGTGGGTAGAGAGCTGCACCTCTCTGTATCAGCATCTCCTTCCCTGGGTCTACTCTGCTCAAGTGTGTGTTACACTAGGGAGGACAAAAATAAAACGAATAGTTTTCTAATTTCTTGCCTGCTCCTTCCACAAACAACCCTTCTCTGGAGCCTGCAGATTTATCACAGCTGAAAGGGAATTTTGTGGCAGCTTCTTATTAAAATATTGGCAGCCTATTACTGTTCCTTACAAATGATGCAGATGGATCACCAGCTGAAAGGCTGCTGAAAGGCAGCTCTGTCTGAGGTGTAACTCTCTTTGTCCGTCACTGCTACCTGCACTTTTCCTTCCTGAAAAAGATATATATATATATATATACATATATAATTTTTAATTTTGTCTACCTCAGCAAATCAAGACCCTGAAAGTTATTTCAGAAGCTCTCTTATCTTTTAACAAATATCTACGGTCTGTGGCTGTCCTGACCTTGAATTGGTTACCCGTGCATTTCTCACATCAAGATTAGATTATTGTGACTCTCTCCTGACAGCCAGACCCGATAAGGCCCTGTACAATTTCCAGCTGGTGCTAAACGCTGCTGCCAGGCTCTTGTAATAGAGAGATGATCTCCACATTTCACCTCTGTCCAAAGCACTGTGCTATTTGCCAGTTAAGCAACATATTGATGTGAAGAGCTCCCTGTTCAAGATGAACTGAGCTTTTTGTCCACACACACAAACACACTTGTGCTTTGAGAAGTGAGGTGAAAGCATGGGTAGGTGCTGACTGCATGATGATGACAGGAAGGGCACTCGGCACCTAAATGCACATCACCACATTACTGACGTGTGCTCTGCAACTCATCTCTAAACGGGACAGTATGAGTTCAGCATACTTGTTCCTGTATCATTTTTAATTTCCTTGCCTAGTATAAAAACCTGAATTGATATCAGCAGTATCTGTCAAGTCCTGCCTGCCCTGATGGCTACAGAATCATAGAAACATTAACGTTGGAAAAGACCATTAAGATCACCCAGTCAAACCACAGCCCACCCCCACCATGCCCACTGACCACGTCCCTCAGTGCCACATCTCACGGTTCTTGAGCACCTCCTGGGAAGGTGACTATACCACCTCCCTGGGCAGCCTGTGCCAATGCTCACCATGCTTTCTGTGAAGCAATTTTTCTTAATATTTGACCTGAATCGCCCATGGCACAACTTACAGCCATTACCTCTTGTCCTATTGGTAATTACCTGGGAAATGAGGCCATCCTCTACCTTGAACCACACTGTGGTACCATGAGCACTGGGAGGCTATAGGGAACTGCCAAATGCTGATGGAAAAAGGGTAGCGGGGCCTTGCATGTGGAAGAGGGCAGGCTGAAGGGGATTCTGAGCACGTGATGGAGCTGTAGGCATCCCTGTTCACTGCAGGGAGCTAGACAAGACGGCCTTTCAAGATACCTTCCAACTCAATCGATTCTGTTTCTATGATTTTCAATGTCTATGATTGATTGAAAGAAGGAGAAAAGGAGAATATGTTTGGTAAGGAAGCTTTCAATGTTTTTCCCCAATTCCTTCCTCTTTACAATTACGTAATTGTACTTCCTTGATATCTGGGGCATAAAGGAAGAAAAAGAATGTGTTATTCTTGCATGTATCTGCAAAATATCTTCTTTCTCTCCTTTCCCAGGCTGACCTGCTTCCTCCCTGTCCCAGATAGGCTAATTTAATGTATCTCTTCTAAATACAGTGATTAATCCCTCTTCTCTGGGGCTGTTGGAAGGTGGAATCTTCTCTCTCCAGAGGACACTCAGCCTTGAGAGCATAGTGCTGCTAGATTCAGTACTACTGCTTCATGGTTATACAGATCCTGGCAGAATCAAGATTCACTGAAACTGGATTAAGGAGGAACCTTTTGCTGTTATCTGACTTGATATCAACAGAGAACTTTTCAGCTGCCACTAGCTGCAAACGTAAAAGTGAAATACCATAGGGCTTCATGGAATCCCTTATGCCTCTTCAAGGCTCTAATTCTGCAAGGGAAATGGGATTTTATACTGCTTTGCTGTTTGAACTTTAGGAGTGGAGAGGGATGTCAGTGTAGTACAGATGTTCATCACTGGTGTGATCCCTAAGGGTGGAGAGCAGCAATGTGGTAGGGAGAAATTAGTAAAAATTATAGGGAGGTGATTTGCCATTGTTTTTGCCATAGTTCTCATTGCTTTCACAATCCAAAAGCTTTTCCTAAGTGTTAAAAAAAAAAAAAAAAAAAAAAAAACACACACAAAAAAGAAATGCTTTTAAGCAGACAAACTCGATCTGTTTCAAGAAATATCATATTCACAAAGCATATGCACAGTACTTAGAATAGCTAATTTCTTTTTAGCTATGATAGCTCTAGAATGCCCTTGACCTTCCAGAGAGGACAGTGTTGTACAATTGCAGTATATAGGGTTTTAATATTAAAAGAGGTTAAATAGCAGAAAGTGAAAAGCTCTTTGCTTTCTTTTTGGTAGGAAGTAAGCTAATGCCAGCAATTTCCATGGCAACTGCAAACAGACCATCCTGTTCACTTCCATGTTATAAATAAAACAAAAATATTCTCCAAATTACATGCTGTGTCTACATGTATTTGCTATCACCATGTTCAGCAGACAGTGGGAACACTTCTTTATGAGATTTGTTAGAAAAGATTACAAGGTTTATGCAAACTAAACAGTCTTAGTGGGCTAACTTCCTTTGAGGAAATAATAAAAATAACCTCAAAACAATTTCAGCTCTCTCACTGCTGATATTCTTTGAGTTTTGCAAATAGTTACAAGTCTAAAATTGATAACTGATTGGCAGCTGGTGTTATCAATAACAAACTTGCAGTAGCATAATTTCAAATATGGACAAAATATTTTTAAAAAGCGTAGTCACTGACTGGGCTTTTGCCTTTAAATTTCTGTGGGGACACAACGATTAGAAGGACAGCTGTTTTATGCCTTATTTTGTGCAGATTGCAGTAGACCAGATCTACCCTGCGTGCGCTGCCTGGATTTCCTATTTTGTTTTCTAAATCTGAAATGCAAGTTATTCCAGTCCGCGGCAATTCTTGTGGCATGGGCAAGTTTTCATCCTGCCTTCCTGTAGGTCCATGAAGTCTTTCCCATGGGAGCAGCTGCAAGGCTCAGCCTGGCCTGTGGAGCAAGGGATAGAGCAGAACAAATCCCTGTGCAAAAGCAGCTCAAGAACTTTCCTCCAAATTCCTCAGCTACATTCACATTCATCCTGAAGGCGGGCCCTGCAAAGGCATCCGGGGTGCTTCTCACTTGCATCAGTACTCCAAAACTGCAGACCTATTTTTTAGTGTGGGTTGACCATCTCACATGCTGCTTCCCAGCCCTAAAAGGGTTGGGACACGTGAGAAGAGCTATCTGAGACAGCTGCTTCCATTAACCGCTCCTTAAGGTTTGAGGTGACCTTGTTGGAACAACCCTTATGCTAAAAGCAGGAAGATGCATTAGGCTGAGCCTGATGATCTCTGCAGGGTTCTTGTTTTTGGGACTGCCCTATCCATTTGCAGCTTGTTCAGAATTCAGCAGCACTGTTGCTTGCTGGCTTGAGCCATTAGATCCCATTGTGCTGACTTTGTGTCCTGTCTGCTAGCTGAGTCTAGGTGACCAGATCACTTGACATTATTGTTTATTTTAAAAAAGAATTAAGAGCATTATTACCAATGTATGCACTCATATCTTCATGCTCAGTTAGCAGATGTGGATGTTGCAAAGGAGATCCTTGTTTCCACTGCTGCCACAAAATAATCCGTCCTATCCAAACTTAAAATAAAGAAATGTAATGATCAACCTGTTGCCTTCAGACAGAAATGTTTAGAAATTTATCGTCTTTTCTATGCCTGTGAACATTCCTTGCTTTTTTTCTCTGTCACTGTTACAGGAAGATGTTAATTCAGTTTTAGTTGCATTTTACTATACTTGTGTACACATAAAAAAAGCATAGGTAGATATAGATTTATTTTTGCCTCATATATTTTCATTCCTATTAAACTTTTCCAGTGTTTGGGTGGGAACATGTAAATATGGCATAATAAACACCCCAGCATAGTGGTATTTAATAAATTCTATTTATTGGAGATGAGATTTTTTTCCAATTAAAATTGTAGGCAAGGTTTCTAATTACAGTACAAATTATCTCAAGTGTATTTTGCTCCGTTAGAAAGCTGTGTAGCGGACAGTGCTACACTTGAATTAGAACTGGGAATCCAGCCAGAAATGTGACCTCCTTGATCCTTGCTTTTCGAGATGCCTAAAAGCACAATTGAGGGTGAGGTGGAGGAGGAAATGTCTCCATTTTCTGTTATTGAGTGCTGAATCCTGCCTCGTACCAAACTTGGCACAGTTCCCTCAGGTTCTACTGTCCCATTATTTACACTGGGGATCCCTGCTATTTACACTAAAGAATTCTGCAACGCTCTCAAAATTATGCTGACAAGTTTAACTGTATGCTAGTCTATAGGTTTACGATGATTTTTAACTTTAAAGTAAGAGAGGGATGCATGATCCACTCAGTTGTTGCTATGCTTTCAGTGGCAAAGGACACTTCTGTGTTGTTTACCCGTGCAACACAGAGGCACCATAGGAAAGCTATGTGTAATTTGACCAGATCAGAGTCACTCCTTAGGCCCTGTTTAAATTACTAAACCTGTACCTCTTTGTTCCAATTGTGGTGGTTTACGTGAGGCTGGGTGCTCTTCTGGTGGCCCAAGCCACCCATGAAGAAGTAGGAGAGGGGCCAAGAATATCTGGACAGAGCAGCAGATGTGCATAGAGAAAAAGATTATGATGGGTCCATACCCCCATTTTGTTGCAACCAAACTCAGTTTGAGGGGCCAGAGGGAAGTAATAGGGCTTAAGAGCTTTGATCAGCTTCACCTGTGCACCTCCCAGGGGCTCCATTTAAAGTCAGACCAGGTGCCTCTCTGCTGCTTATGCTCTAAGTGAACCTGCCTTCTGGGTAAGCCTCATGATAATGCTGTATGTGCTTTGTCCCTTAAAAGAACACCTTGAATTGGGATAGTCTTTTGTTTTCTGTTTTGGCCTTGTTTCTGGCATGGCCTATGCACTGTGCTAACACTTCGTCTCTAGCCCTGTCTATAGCCTTGTATACTTTTGCTCCTGACTAGTCTCTATGTTTGGTCCTGTTTATGGTGAACCACCTGTACAGTCTGGGACTGCTAATGGATCTTGTCACCAGCTTTGGAAATATTCAGGCTCTGTTCGTTGTGTTTCGGTCTTGAGGACTGGGTTCTGCCTGGCTGGGATTAATGCTGTCTTATGATTGTCCTCTCTCCTTGGGGAGCAGCTGTTTTCTGCTCTACCTTGATGGTAGTTGCATGCAGGGCTGTTCCCAGGTGCTCCTGATGCCCTGGTGTCCATACAGCCCCAACTGGCCCTTACTAATGTGTTATCCATTTAAGCATTGAGCTATGTCTCCTGTGGGAGGCTTACCATAAACTGAGGATCCTGTGTTTGATTTTCCAAAGCTTCTCCCCTGAGATTGGAGAGTGGAAGAGTCTCAGATCTCATCATACTGATCCTGTCTTCCCTCTTGGCGTTGTCAGTTCTTTTAGAAGACCAAGCACCTGTTCTTATCTCCCACACTAGCATCAGTGGACAGAAGGATGCAGCAGCCTGCTTGCCCTGCTCCTGTGCTATCAGGTAATAGTAATTATTTTTTAACCCTCTACATGGATTTCTGCTTTCTGCGCTATGTAGCCATGATTGGAGAAGGTGGAGAGAGGCCATTTGGTCATGTATCTTTATTTGGGGAGATGTAAGTAATTGACATGTTCCAGTGGGTACCGAGGGGGGGAAAAAAAAGGCTCCTTCAAGTCTCTCCAGTTGCTAGGAAATGGATGCTTCAACTTTGAAAGCCTCCATGTATGCAGAGGCTATTACCCTGGCAAACTGGACTTTCAGATCTGGCAGCAAGGGAAAAAAGGTGATGCCCAAAAATAGAGGATGTTTAGGTGATCTGATTTCAGAAACATCTGTTCTTCTTTGCTGGGAAGACAAGGGACTAGTCTAGTTAGTGAACATATGTGGCTGCATTATGCGTAATAAGTTTTGCTCATATGGTTTCAGCTTGGCTAGGTGACCTCCTTTCTCCCCTCCTTTCCAACCTGGTGAATTTTTAACTCAGCTTTTGCGTACAAAGCTTGCCTATGTAGTGAAGCCATGTGTAGTGTTTGCTTTGAAGCCCGGAACAGGTTTGCATGCAGATGGACTGAGTGATCAAATAGCAGTTTAAAGTTTTACTCTCATGGGACCTATGAACCTCCCTTGCAAGAGCTGTCTGTAGGTTGGTGTGAGCTCTAAGCACAGCTCTGTTGCAGTGCTCGTGTCTGGAATGGTAGCTGCCTCCTTCTGTACTTTCCCTGTGTAAGCACCATTATCTGTGGCCAGTCACTTGAAGCTTCAGGGAGGATGCTATAAAAGCCATGATATCTTTTCTGTGTTTATACTGTACACCCTTCCAGAAACTCAAGCTGTGGATACAGTATTGGGAGTACCACCATTCAGTCCTGTGGTTTCTGTCTCAGGTGTGGTTCACTGGGAGTGCACCAGTATGCTGTGATTAATTTGAAAGTACTAAACGGACCTGGAGTCTTAAAGATGTCCGTGTGAACTCTGCACTTGAGCAGTATTAAACAGTTACATCAGGTAGAGGCATTGAGAGTGAGGTCTTCACATCTCTGGCATTGGCACAAGCAGCCAACTTATTAAACCCTCTTAACCTTTTCCTTAAAGGTACAGGAAATTGGGAAAAAATAAACACTTGCTATATAAAGAATATCAAAATGTAACATTCTAACAGTATCTGTGGGCCCACTTTCCTCTTAATACCAAATAATTGCTTAGGAAGACCTACTTTGTCTGCTGGTCTTTTTGATGTCATGAAATGTCATGAAAGATGATGACAGCTTCCTTCTGGGGAAGGAGGTGAACTGAAATGGACTGGAACTTGTTTTGTTCTTGGAATCTGATCCTGATTTCTTCCAGACTGATGTGTACAAAAAGGAGAAGGGGAGAAAAAGTAATCATGAGGAGACTCCTAACTCTATTTCAGTTGCTATCTGCCATGGACCCTCACTGGTAGGTCAGCCTGATGTTGGTAGACAAGCTTGTATATTCTTAACATATAATTTGGTTTTGTGCAAGCACAAACCTAGTCTGGGCATCACCTCAGCAAGCTTATGACCTGCTATGTAGGCAAATTTCCTCAATGAGTGCATGAGCTGACCTGCAGGTAACTTAAGCTTGGCTCAGTGTCCATGGTTTGGAGTGTAAATCCAGGCAAGCTAGGAAGAAGGGAGATGATGGCATGTTCCTCTCTCAGGCTGTTACTTATTCATCCACTGCTGATTTTACTATTACTAGACTTTAAAAGATGTTGTTATGTATCCCTCTGGTTGCAAGCTCACAGTAGCTTGGAGAAATATCAGTGTTGGCTACATAAATGAAATAGATTTTATTTTCTTTGCTTAAAAGAACAAAAGAAGACAGAATATGCATTAAAAGTGGAAAAGATGACGCATGGAAAAAGGTGTAAGGAAGGGAGTTTTTATCTTTAGCCAAAGATAAGAGCTAATGTCAAAGACCCATTTTCTGGCAGCCAGTTTCTTTCCAAGATCAGGACAAAGGGTCAGCCATGCCATGGTGGACTAAAGGAGGTGATGACTATTGTGGGCTGTGTGGTAGGGATCATGATTTTCAGGTCACCTGTCCTCCTGGGAATAGTGTCAGATAACACAATCTACTGACCGGTGACAGACCCATCCTGTTGCTATTTTGTTTGTATTCAGCATACCAATTTGGGCTTGTTGCTGGTCTCTGCCCTTCCTGTTTACCAGGTGTGCTCCAAACTTGTGCTTCTCCACTCCCTGACCTTCCTGTTCAGCTGAATTAAACAAGTCAATAAATTTCATTGACTTTTCTGCGTAAAATCATATGTAAGTCTGATTTGCATTCCTCAGATGGAGTAACAGACGTTGCACAGCCATGCGTTCAATCTCAGTCTTGATGCTGTCTTTTCTGTACAAACAGGTTTACCTGTTTTTACCTGGAGAAGAACCAGCATAAAATATTCTAGTTTTCCAGGAAATTAAGACTTGGAGCCAAACTTCTTAATGCAATCTTTTCTATACTTTTTGCTTTCCTCCACTGCCTAATTGGAATCAGTGTGCATTCCTAATAGACTTTGCTGAACAAAGCTCCTGAACCCTACATGGTAATGTAAAACCATTGCTCTGTGCTGTCTGTAACAGATGGGAAATGTAATCTTCTGGGTCCTATGACAGGGTTTGCTCATTATTATATGAACAATGAGGGAAGAAATGTAAAAGGTGCAACATACATTTATTTCCTGACACTTTGTTTAAAAGACAATGGACCTGATTCTTATTAACCGTAAGGGCTGCAGGGGATCCCTTTAGTGTTAGAGACCTCCAACAAAAGAAGTGTGTAATATATCTTTTTATACCCTAATTTTTTCTCACCTTAGGCCTTTTAATCTAGCTCGTCATTCAGGCAGCAACGAGTACTGGCAAGCATTTATTAGAGAATGAGTGATGAGGTGATTCCCACAATTAAGCAAATCTCATGACATTTGTTCTTGGAATCTCTTTAACTTGTAGATTTTGCTTCTGTCTCTGACCTGAAGAGCTGTGTAGCCTTTTCCAGTTGTATCTTTTTTTTTTTCTTCTTGTTTTTAAAACATTTCTTTGTGCAAAGTTGCTTCTCATTCTCAAACTTTTGAGGCTGCGCTGACAAAAGTTCTGTTCAGGGTACTTCAACCAAGGGAATGCCTTCAGTCTTCATCTTTTGGTGGGATGCAAACTATCTTCTGGATGCTATATCACCTCTTTGAGATGGTCTGTGTGTGGTTATCAGATCTGTGATAAAAGCACTGGTGATTCAGGCAGGCAAGACTTATGTGAATAATAAGGAGAGGAGCCTTAACTAAAGCAAAATAATTAAGATAACTTCCACCACTGGAAACACCTGTTTTTCTACTCTGCAGGTACTAAAGTTGTTTCAACAACATCATTCAGAGCACTGAGAGAACTTTCCTGCTGAAAATGCCCTCCCTCCTTCAGTGCCTCCTTTCCTGCCTCTGACCCTTCTGCTGGCAGCAGACAGACCAGCATGAAGTCTCTGGTATCAGGTTTTCTACTCTTTTTACCTTTCCTGCCCCTGGCATGCAGATAGCTTTGCTACCTGACCCTGTTTGAAGCTCAAGTGTGATGGATTCCATTTCCCTATCAGCCTGCCAGTCTAGCTGGTTTCAGCATTTCTGTCGTCTCCTGTGTGGGTTGCTGCATTACCTGTAAGGAGTGGAGTTTCACGCTGAAGCTTTTATGCCCTACTTATTTTTAATCCCTCTTCACCATCAGCACCTTTGCCAAGAATTGGAGTGGAGCTTTGCAAGCTCTGCTTTGATCTTTCTGGCACCTTAGGTGACATCTGTATCAGCACTTGCATGTTGATTCCTGATGCAGGGCTTCACAAGCCAGATTTCATTTTAAAAGTGCTGTTTTCCTGTAACAATTCCCACATCTATGCATACACACACAGATATGCATGTGCTCTCTCATTTTGGACGTACTTTGGTTCCTTTCAGTCCAGCAATGTGCCCTTGTTCTAAAGGAAAAGGATTTGTTTGAATACCTTATGAAAACAAGACAAGTAACTCAAAAATCCAACGCTTCAGCTACTAAAGTACCTTAGCCTCACCCAAAGCACACAAAACAAAGTTGACGTGTAGCTATTAGCCTTTCGCTCTGTAATTTGCCGCCCTGCGCTGCACAAAGCCATAAACATTGTTCCCTTGACTCCTGTTTCCAGAGGGAGGTGACATCTATTGTGAAAACACCACCCTCAAGGAGCAGTTTTCTGGAGTCAAACATGCATTGTGGCGCTGTGACATGTCACATCAAGTACTGGTAGTTCAGGAGAAGATTGTTGGGTCACCTTGGTACACTGAGACACTAAGCTGCAAAGCCCGCTTAGGGAAAATGTACTATCAGCCACTCAGAAATCAGCATGTTGTTCTTAAAGCCTTCTCCTTCCTATTTTCTTCATGTTGCTGAGTGATTATTTAGTAGTTAGTAGTGTGGGAATGCTGGGGAGGAAGGGAGGGAGAATGGTGGAAAAACAAACAAACAAAAAAACAACCTAAGCTGTTTGTATTTTGTAGATCTAATTATTGTATCTTGATGTGAAAATGCATACAGGCAAGTGAAGCTATATTGGAATTAGGCAAATGTCCTCCCAAATGAGCTAAAACAACTGAAGTTTTGATGACTGATTTCCTAGCATGTGCAATTGCAGCCTGCCTTATTCACTTATTTGTGAACATCTGAGAAGGGAGGTATAATCCTTCCATCATTTCTCAGGAGAGCAGGAATTGTAACAAAATGCAGAAAATAATTAACTATGAGAGTGTTTGTACTACAAATGGTGCTGTAACTTTTTTTCCAGTTTTACTTGTAGTGCAGAAAGTACAGAAGGGAAGGGTGAGGGTGAGGATCTGGCCATTGCTAGTGGCAAATTTGAGACCATGCACCATCCCTTAGCTTTGAGAATGTATTATTACTGCTGCTCCAGTGGAAAAAGAATGCCTTTAACAACTCGAGAGTCTGAGATATTTCCTAAAA